ACAATCCTACTTGGCACTGCATTGTGGGCAGGAACTTTGGTAGTTATGTGACACATGAAACTAAGCACTTCCTCTACTTCTATCTGGGCCAAGTGGCCATCCTTCTGTTCAAATCTGGTTAAAGCATGGATTGTGCCCACACCTTCAGGGATGCGTCCCAAACCAAGGACTGCTGCCTGAATTCCAAATACCAGAGCCCTGCGAAGGGAACACCTCCATCTGTGAACCTTGGTTGTGTTGTTTGGTACAGGACCTCCTCTGTACTCCTTTGTGGTTATAAAGCAATTAGCAAAACGGCAACAACAAAAAATACATAGAGTGCATCGTTGTTTACTGTAACACAATAATTAGAAGTGACCTGTCTCTCAGGGGACCAAAAACAAAATAGAAATTAGTTGCCATGAACTGGATTCACCCTCAAGGAGATCCTTTGTGTGTGGGCTTTGGAGGCTCTCTGACTTTTCAAAACCAATCATCAGGCCTTTCTTTCAAGGCACCTCTGGATGGATTAGAACCATCAACCTTTTGATTTGTGGTAAAGCACTTAACCATTCGGGCCACCTGCGAACTCCTGCTTGTAGGAAGGGATGGTGTCAATAACCTCAGATATTACTTCCACACAAGGAAATCACATGCATGAAGCCAGCTTTTATAAAAGGAGGTAGCTCTATATTTACTGATATTAGAAAGATATCCACCATTGCTAAGTTAAAAAAAAGCAGTTTGAAACAGTATGCTTTTGTTTTTGTTTTAAAGGTTTGTTTACATGTTCACAGAAAAACATCTAAGGTTTTTTGTTTTGTTTTTTTTTCACATCTAAGCTTTTAAAGGTTTGTTTACATGTTCACAGGAAAACATCTAAGAAACACTTAAACTGTTAATGAGATTCTGACTATGGGACAGAAGGGAGTACTTTTCTTTTTTAAACTAGGAAATACAGGTGTAAGGCATGAACCCAAACAAGAATGAAGGGCATTGCAAAGTCAGTCTTCTCCCTCCTTCGCCGTCCAGGCTGGCTCTGGAGAGAGAGAAACTGTCTTACTGAATAAAACCCAAAGCCTCACCCCCGTCAAGTTGATGCCCACTCCCAGCAATGCGATAAGATGGGAGAACTAGCCTGGCCCTGTGGGTTTCCAAGACTGTAACTCTTCATGGGGGTGGAAAGCCTGCTGGTGGTATCGAACTGCTGGCTTTGGGGGTAGCAACCCAACAGGCAACCACTACGCCACCGGGGCTGTCTGAATGCATCTGTGCAAGGTGGTTATGTGCTGTCCAACCGATTCCAATTCATAGCAACCCTATAGGGCAGAATAGCCATGCCTCCATGGAGTTTCCTAGGCTGTAATCCTTAAAGATTACAAGGGCAGGTTAGAAAACAGACCTTTCCGTTAGCTTACACATTGCTGGGATCCCTCACTGCAGTGTCAATCCTTTTACTTTTTAAACAAAGAATATGTGTCTCTTTTATCATTCAAAATGATAAAAGGGGGGGAGATGGTTTGTTGTAGAAATTTTGCACACAATCTAAAAGTTTCAATAGCCACAATCTCACCTCCTGGAGAAAATGACCATTGGATCACCTACATTTCCATTTCTTTATATGCATTTATATCCTTTAAAAACCCAAACCCCAAACTTCAGTTTGTAAAATAGTCACAAAACATACAACGTTAAAAAAGGTGGAGAGGCTCACTCATAGCACATTGGTTATGCATCGGGTTAATTGCATGGTCAGCACTTTGAAACACCAGCCTCTGGAATAAAGGACTTTAAAATATATATAAGGAGTGGGGGAGAGAATGCTAAACATGTATCCCAGGCCAAAAGAAATCCAGTTTATAAAAAGAAAAGGGGCGGAGACGGTCTTTGGCACTGTTTGCACTTAAAGGGGCAGCATCCACATCCTTCCGTGTCATGACGTATGTGTGCAGACCATGATTTTGAGCAGCTGTGTAATAACCTAGCCCAAGAAATATTTATTTAAGCAATCTCACCATCAGACATTTAGGTTGATCCTCATTTCAGGAAAACAAAACAAAAACGAACACCAAAAAAAGTTTTGCACATAAAGTCAAGACTATGCCTGTGGGGCAGAAAAGATAGTTCCCGAAACTGCTGTTCTGACTCGGAGACCTCATCCTTTGGGGTCTCTGCCCCGCTTGCTTGCCCACTCCAGAGGCAACCCTGGCCTTTGACTTGTCCCTATGGGAGGGCAGAGGTGGAGCCTGATGGTCTCCACCAGGTGATCATTTCCCAGCACGAAGCACAAGACCCAGGTCCAGTCCTGTGGCCCCCTACTTCCCAGCGTCGAGGTCCTCAGGGCACTGGTGGTCCAGAGATGTGTGCAACATTCTCATACTGAGGTTCCTCCTGCCCCTGATCTTCGACCAGCTTTGGGGGATCCTGTTCGGGAAGACCACCCCCGGGGGCCGGCCCCTCAGTGCTGCCTGGGCTCTTGGTGTCGTCCCCCAGCCCTCGGGCTGCTGCCTCTGGCTCTGCCCTCGCAGGTGCTGCGCACGGGGCTGAGTCGGGGCTCTGGCTAGCAGAGTCGGGGGCCAGCCCAGGGCTGCCCTTGTTCCGACTCAGGGCCCTGCGTGGAGGCTTGGGGATGGCACTCTTGGCCTTGGGTTCTGCCTGACCTTTCTTGAAACTCCCCAAACGGCGCAGGACGGACCGGACGGGCCCCTCCGGTCCCCGGGGCGTCCCCGCCAGCATGTAGATGGTGGTCATGGGCCCCGAGTGCTCCTGCACACTGCTCTCAATGGCTTCGATGCGCTCCGCCACTGTCCGGCCTCCCAGCGGGAGCTGCTGGCAGCCAGCCGCTGAGTCCCCAGAGCTGGTGGCACCAGGAGGGGTCTCCTCACTTTCTGCGGGCTCTGGGCCTAGGGACACGTCAGCTTGCTGGCCCTCAGAACTGGGTTGGGCCCCTCGAGAGAGCCTCTTGGGCTTTCGGAGTGGGCTGGCAAGCTCTCCTGAGCTCCGGTGACTCTGGGGTGTAAACTTGGTGCCTTCGGCAAAGGAGACCGATGGCCGCTTGGCCCGAGCTAGGCTGGAGGTGCGTGGGATGGCGAAAGGTGTGGAGGCATCTTCCGGGGGAGGGAAGGAGCCTGCGGCCAGGCTGGTGTCTGGAGACTCTGCTTGGACCACAGAGGTCATCCCTGCAGGAGGCAGAGGAGGCAGAAGAGGGGGTCTTGGCCAGAGCTGGGCTGGTTATCCTAACCCATCTTACTTACTCAGCTCAGGATCTTACAGGAGACCCCAGAACTGAGGCAAAGAAGAGGGCGAGGATGCAGACAGCCAGGGGAAAGGCCGACCCAGGTAGTCCCTGTGCTTTCCCCACTCCTTCCTCCCCACCTTGAACTGAGACCACAGTCTGGCCTCCCAGAAAGTCTCTCAATGCAGCAGAGCCTTGGCCCCCTCACCTCTGGGCCATCCTGCACGCTGGCCCCTCTTCCTGAAACACCACTCCCACTTCGTTCCACCTTGTTGGAGTTGGCTAACTCCTACTGATCCTGGTAGGCTCAACTCACACATCCCCAGCACTGCGCTGTCTCCCCTGGCCCCAGCCAACCCCAGATGACTGTTCCCATGTTTCACATCAAAGCCGGTGTCACCCTGTGCTAGGAAATCGCACGGGCTCTTGATAAACATTTGCTGAGTGAATCAGGCAGAGGTGGTGGAGGGCAGGGTTTCCCCAGGATCGAATAGGCTATTGGGGTACGAGGCTACCTTCTTGGGGTGGCACACAGTAGGCAGGATCCTCGTCCTCCTCTGCGGACTCAGGATCGGACGAGAAGGAGTCATCCGAGGGCCAGCCAGCGGAGGGGGGCTCGATGAAGCTGTGGTTGAAGGGGACCTCCGGGTCGTGGTGAGAGACTGTGAGAGGCGCTAGGTCAGGAGCAGAGCCTGATGGGAAGCCCTGGCCCATTCCAGCCCCGATCCCCCAGCTGCCACCCACCTGTCACCCAGGGGAGCTTGTGACTGCGGAGGGAGCCACAGGGCAGCACGGAGCCCAGGCTGGTCAGTGCCCCCCACATCTGCAGTTTCACCCTAGACACAGCAGTGCCATCTCTCGGAAGCCTGAGCGGGGGGAGAGAGGGGGTCACTTCAGGGTGCTTGGGATGAGGGCAGGAGGGACGAGAGGCAAGAGGAAAGAGCGAGGCCCGTGCTGCGAGGGAGACACAGGGACTAGATGACACATCATTTGGACACATTCCCGGGGCCCCAAACCTTCAATGGAACCCCCTCTTCCTGCCGACAGAACACCATCCCGGTTACTGAGGCCACGATTTTGGCCGGGTCAGCCACAGACAGTGCGATAGGCGCTAGACTACAACTCTGGCTGGGACTTGAGCCCCGTGAGCCTCTGGTGCCTCATTTGTGAAATGAGAACAACTGCTACCCCATCAGTTCAGACCACACCCCTGGCAGGGAGCCCCGCCCCCCCGCCCCCGCCCTCCCGAATACAGTGATTGGTTAGCATCATCCTGGCTGAGCCCCTCACCCGGCACCCAGCTCAAATGGGGCCCCTGCAGGCAGGCAGTACCCTCCACTCCCCACCCTCATTTCCTTGCCAGTCCCTTGCCACTGCCTGCTTTTCTGCTGACAGCCATTATTCCTGACCTGAGCTCATCTGTTTGTGTGAGGGGCTCTTCCCTCCACCCCCAAGCTGTAGGTCCTGAGGGATGGGGAGCTGGGCCGGCTCCTGTCGGGGTGTGGCCCGACTCCTCCCTGCCCTGCTCCAGCTCTGCTGCTGTTCTGCCCCCTGCCTCCCTCCCTTCGGGTCTTCTGCTGTAGGTTTCAGCTGCACCAGCCTGGTGCCCACCCTTCCTGCTCCTGCGACCCAGTCTCCCAGCGAGGCAGGTGGTAGCTCTGATGCCTCCAGCCACTGCGGCAAAGGCAGCCCAATGCCACTTTGTGCCCAGTCCATGGCCTGAGCCGGTGCTTACCTGTCCTTGGGGTCCAGGCGGGCGGCCCAGAAGCAGCAGAGGCAGCAGGCGAGACCCAGGAGCAGCAGCAGCAGGGGCACCAGGATGCCCGCGATGAGGGCAGCATCCTGACCACGAAGGCCTATGGGAACAGGGCGGTCAGATGGCTGGAGCCACCCCGCCTCCCACCACATGTGCCTCCTCCTGAGCACTGAGCTGGGCCTCCCCATGGGGCCCTCCTCCGGCTCTCTGGCACATGGACCGCGCTCATTCAGCCTGGAGGGCCCCTTCCATGGCCTGATGCAGGCCCTGGGGTTCAGCCTGCCCCATCATGACCTGGGCTTTCACCTGGTTTCTCGGGGTTTGGGGGCCCCAAAGCATCCCAGCGGACTTCCAATGCAGGGATGTGTCTGCAGGCGCCCAGCCCGCAGATACCTGGAACCCATGGTCACGGTACCCTCCTCATTCCCTCCACCTTACCGTGCTGGCAGGCCCCAGAGACAGGGTGGCAGGGCCCCTCTGGGCACTGGCAGGGGACCGAGCAGTTGTCTCCATAGAAGCCAAATGGACAGGAAGTGTTGCAGCTGTGGGGTGACAGGGAGACGCAGGCTGAAGGCTGGGTGGGAAGGGAAGCATCAGGCAAGGGAGCAGGGAGGTAGATGGTAGATTTCTGGGCCCGCCTTGACACCCCCCAGGAGCCCAGGGGGCCTAGTTGTTCCCACTGCTAACTGCAAGGTCAGCAATAGCAAACTGTCAACTGCACTCCTTGGGAGAACAACAGGGCCTTCTACTCCCGTGAAGAGTTACAGTCTGGCTGAAGGGAGACAGCGGAGGGTGTAGAATATAAAAATTAAAAAAAATGTATGTTATCCAGGGTTCCCCAGGGTGGGAGGGTGGGGAAAAAAAAGAAGCTGATACCAAGGGCCCAAGTACAAAGAAAATGTTTTGGAAATGATGATGGTAACATATATACAAATGTGCTTGATACACTTGATGTATGGATTATTATAAGAGCTGTGAGAGCCCCCAATAAAATGATTTCTTAAAAAAAGAAAGTTACAGTCTGTGGATGAAGTGCCAATAAAACTATTTAAAAGAGAGCCCCCCCAATAAAATGACTAATAATAATTAAAAAAAACCTTTAAAATAAAAAAAAGAGAGAGAGTGACAGTCTTAGAAACTCACCGGGGCAGTTCTACCTGTTGTGTAGGGTTGCTGAGTCAGCAGTGAGTTTGATTTTGAGAAACCATCCCCCTGTCCCCTGCCAGGCGGGCTCCCCTAGATGAGGCCCCAACAAACCCTATGTGACCACTCAGCCACGATCCAAGTACCACTGGCAGCATTTGGGAGAATGCTCCAGCCCCAGAGCCCATCTTCGGGGGAGAAGAGAGCACCCAGATGTGCCCTGGCCTCTAGCCCCCAAGGTGTAATCCGCAAGGCAGGGTCTTCCTCTCACTCTCCTCACCTCCTTGCCCACCCAGCGCTAATGTGAACCCCGTGACATCTGGAGAGAGGCCACCCAGGCCTGGCGGTCTGAGCCAGGCCCGGCCCGGCCCCTAACGCTGCAGGCCTTGAAAGTCTCCTCCGTAAAAGGTGGGCTCTTCTACCTGATGTTCAATTCTGTTCTTGAAGTGGAAAAGCTACCTACCTGCTAACAATGATTGTGTCCCCACCACCTGAAGATCCGAGGGAAATGACACTGCAGGGGCCCCTAACCCCTAACTAAGCTCCCAAACCAGTGAGCGCAGAAGCCCTGGGTGGGGCACGTGGTTAGCACACTTGGCTGAAAGGTTGGTGGTTGGGTTCCACACAGAGACCCTTTGGAAGGTGGCCTTGAACGGAACCTCACAAAATCAGCCGGTGAGAACCCTGTAGAGTGCAGGTCGGCTCCAGCCCCTACAAGGGTATCATGAGTCCGAAGAGACTTCAGGGCCACCGGTCATGTAGTTAAGGGGCATTTTAACCCTGGCCTGGCCTTCCTGGGGAAGCTGCAGGCCCCACCACGGGAAAAATCATTAAGACGCTGGGTGAGAAGCCTCTGGAAGGAGCATTTAAGAAACAGAAGCCTGGCCTACGTCCACTCTGCTGCTCCCTCTCAGGCCCCATCCTCACCTGGGCCCCCAGTAACCGGCGTTGCAGACACAGTCCCCAGTCACAGCATCACAAGTCCCCTGAAGACAGGTAGGGCAGGTGAAGCTGCAGCTCTCTCCAAAGGTGTCAGCTGGGCAGGGCTCTTCACACCTGAGATGAGGCAAGACTTGGGGAATAGGGGGGGCACCACCCATCTTCTCCCTACCCCCAGTCCCCAAACCCCTGCTCCTGGACTCAGGGGCCCAACTGTTTACTCAGCACCATGGCAGGGTAGGTGTAAACAGGGCCAGCCCCACCAGGGGACAGACCACAGATTTCTGAAGGAGGAGGGGGGTAGAAAGCTGCGTGGTGAGAGAACTGGGGGAGAGTCCTGCCCAGGCCTCCTCAGCACACATTTCTCTGCCCTCACTCTTCCCCAGCGAGGCAGGGGGCTGGGGTGGAAGTGGGGATCCTGAAGGAAGATGCACCCCACCCTGAGCAGGCTGGGCCCTCACCTGGGTCCCTGCCAGCCGGGGTTACAGTGCTCACAGTGCCCAGTGTCTGGCTGACAAGACTCCCCTAGGCGGCAGCGGGGGCACTGCTGCCTGCAGTTCTCGCCAAAGGTGCCTGGTGGGCAGCGCTGGTGGCACTGGGTCCCATTCCACCCTGGCTCGCAGGACTCACAGCTGCCTGTGTCCGGGGCACATGGCTCATTCTGCTGGCAGTGGCCACAGCTAGGAAAGGAAGAGATTGAGAGTGGGGTCAGGGCAGGGGGGACTGTGGATGGACGGAGCTCCCTCGCTCCAAACCAGCAGAGCCCACCCCACCCAGCCTCTCAGGACCCAGGGGAGCTACACGGGCCCAGCTCTGCCTCTCAGACAGGTTGGAGCCTCCGTTTTCCCCATGCTGTATGGTGACAAGGCTGAAGAGGTGATCTCTGCAGGCTTTTGCAGGACTCTGTGCCACTGTTCACCTCCCCCTCTGTGAGCCCCCTCTGTGCAGCCCCTCAGGCCGGCTTTCCCCTCCTGCCTCAGGTCTGACCGGAACAGGCTCTGGAGTTTAACCTCTATCCCATAATACAAAAATGCACACACATACACATGCTTTCACCACGACAAGGTCTGGCTTTTAACGTCGCGCTGGTGCTTAGCAGTGCCTTGAAGGACCTTTTTCTGGATACTTAACTATCTGCGATCATATGCTTTCGGGGATGGGAGGGAATTCCCTCGATCCATTGACCAGCTTCTAGCTCAGAGTGGAATCGCTGGCCGTTGGTTTGGTGGGTGTGTTTGAAATAGCTTTGTTTTGTAAGAAATCACTGAAAACATGACATTGGGATGGGGTATCCTAGGCAGCCGAGCTTAAGTGTGTTGTCTTGGCAGACTTCTGCTTCAGTGCCAAGCGAGGGAAGAATGTACGGGGTATTTCTGATTGCAGGTGGAGCTGCTCCAAGTGAGGAAGTCACGGAGTCACAGAAACCCTGTACTCCAGCGGTTCTCAACCTGTGGGGCTTGACCCCTCTGGGGGTCAAACACCCCTTTCACAGGGGTCACCTGATTCATAACAGTAGCAAAATGACAGTGATGAAGTCTCAACGAAGATAATTTTATGGCTGGGGGGTCACCACCGCATGAGGAAGTGTAAGAAAGGGTTGCCACGGCGTTAGGAACGTTGAGAACCACTTCTGTAATCCTTTGGTCCTGAGCTTCATTCTGGCTGTTTATAAGTAGAGCTTGGCCGGTACTGGCATTTTACTGCTTACCGGTAACAGGAACGAACAATGGGGTGGGCTGGACCTAGAGGCACGGGGCCGCGGAAGGTGTGTGCATGTTTCCCTTCCTGGTTCATCCCTGCCAGGAATCTTTGTATGGACCACACCAGCCTCCTAACCCTTCTGCCTTCTCCCCGAGCCCTCCTGCTCCCGCTGCCTCCTTCTCTCGTGTTCCCGCCGTCCCCCCCACCCCTCTGCTCCTTCTCCCTCTTCCCTGCCCTTGAGGGCAGGCCCCTGCTTGCCCTCCACCTGCGCCCCTGCCCAGCGCGCTCACCTGTGCAGGCACTGCGCCCCGTAGCGGCCGGCGGGGCACGGCAGCTCGCAGCGCTCGCCGCGGTAGCCGGGTGGGCATGCGCACTGGCCCGAGGCGGCGCTGCAGCGGCCGCGCGCGCACTGGCACACCTGGCGGCAGCTGAGGCCCCAGCGGCCCGGCAGGCAGGCGCAGCGGCCCGACTCGGGAGCGCAGGGGGAGCCGTGGCAGGCGCAGCGGAAGCTGCAGCGGCGGCCCCACCAGCCGGGTTGGCACAGGCAGGCGCCCGTGGCAGGGTCGCAGCGCGAGGCTGCCAGGTTGCAGGAACACTGGCGGTGGCACGTGGGCTCCCACCAGCCTGGTTCACAGCGGCACACGCCGGTCGGGTCGCAGCGCCCGTGGGGGCTGCAGGCGCACGTGAATTCGCAGCGGTCGCCCCAGCGGTTGGCTTGACAGTGACACTCGCCCGTGGCCGGCTCACACTGGCCGTGCGGGTGGCAGGCGCAGCTCTTGCGGCAGTCTGGGCCCCAGTACTGGGCCGGGCAGCCTGCGGAGGGGTGGGGTGGGTGGGCCCAGGCGGATATGGCTAGCTCAGAGCTGGGCACGCATCCGCCCCGCCCTCCAACCCATCCAGAAGGGTCACCGTCTTGGAACGCCAGGCCCCCTGTCCTCCTGAGAGGTTTGCTCACTTCCTGGCCCATACTCTGCGCTACAAAAACACTCGACTGTGGCCCCGCCTCACCCTTAGGGATCGAGAGTGGGAAAGGCACGTCCCCAGAGTCAGACAGGTGGGAAGGACCAGGCTGGCCTGGCTGCTGCCGCCAGGGTCCCGAAAGAAGCCATAATTCCCAGTGTCTGCTCCCAGCCTAGGCTTGCCTGTCCCTGGTTAATCTGCCCACCAACCCCTCTGGCTGTCAAAAGGGGAGGGACTGGCTCCTGGGTCCACTGCACACACATCCCCCAGTGGATAAGCTGTGTGGGTCGGCAGAGAGAAATAACATCCATTCCGCAGCTAACGGGAGCACCTGCATTTTCTGAGACGCTGAAATGAAAAGTGAAATTGCCCGGCACTAACTTGTGAGAACAGGGTTTTGTGGGCACGGTAAGCCGGATGCATCAGGGCATCTCTGGGCGAACCCCTCTTCCTGCCTCTGAGCCTCCTGGTGAAGCTTGGAGGGATCTGGGACTTGCTATTCTTAAAATGGCATCCTTACCTGCTTTGTACCCAACCCCCCCATCCCCAACCCACTTCTGCCCAGCAATTGCACTCCTAGGGGGAGACTCACGGGAGCTGCATTGGGCCCCGAAGAACCCAGCCTTGCAGCGACAGAGGCCCGGTTTCACGCACACCTCTTCTGCCTGGCAGGTATCCGGCCCTTCGCAGATGGCTGGAAAACAGGTTGGAGGGACTGAGGCATGATGGGGGACACCTCTGCCCCTCACTGGCTCTTAGGGCCTTGCCACCTCAGGTTAGGGGGGGTGTATTATAGGTTGGACCCTGGTTCAAGGACTCAGGAAGAAATGAGGCCCCAAGAAGTTAAGGAGAATGGGCCATTGGGCTGTTCTTCCTTCTCATCTGGGGAGGTGGGGGGTGGGGGGTGGTGGTGGTGCTGTCCCCTCTTGGCTACTCACGGATGGTGCATTCTCGATCTTTTTGCCTCCAGCCTGGACAGCACTGGAGCTCGGCAGAGGGGCTGTGGAGCAAAGAGGGGTCAGCTGGAGCGTTCTGGGGAGCTGGACACGGGGTTTGCCAGCCCTTCCCAGTGGGCCACTGTCTCGGCTGAGCTTTAGGAAGTCGCCTCAATTCTATCAAGGTCTAGCAGACGGAGTGTAACGACCCTCAGGTCCTATCATCTTCCCCGACTATCCACCAGCCCGCAGCTGCTCCCTGCCCCTCTCCCTTCAGTCCTAACACCTTCCTCAACTCCCTCCTTTCCCTCAGTGTCTCCCTGTCAGTCCAACCACCGCCCCCCAAACTCTCACAAGACCCACCTGCTGGCCACGCAGACATGCTGCCCTTTGGGGTCCAGCTGGGACCCCAGGGCCCCCTGAGTCCAGAGCAGCAGCAGGAGCCCCAGCCCCAGCCCCATGGCGGCCAGTGCCGGAGGAGGAGAGCTTGGGATAGTCAGCCCCACAGCTCCCAACCCCCTTCCTGCTTCCTCTCAAGGCTTTTCCTGAGGAAATGGGGCCGGAGGGGCGGGCTGTCATGAGGCACCTCCCTGAGAGGGTGGGCGGGTGTAGAGAAGTCCTGACTGATGCCCATGAACTGTGAAGTGAAAGAGAAAGGGCCAGCCAGCCAGGGGGGAGCAGGGCTGGCCTTGCTGTGGAGGGCATCGGCAGGTCCCTGTGGGACTGGAGGTTACTGGGGGGCCCTTGACTTTCCTTCCACTAGGCCATATTCCCAGAGTGCGGCTGGAGCTGGGTAAACTTCCCCAACTGGAAACCAACCAACCACAGGAACCTTGGCCCTGTAGTCACTTTCTGCAGCGCTGGGAGGTTGGGGACAAGCACAGACAGACAAGGAGCGGTGTGTGGTTACTGTGGGCAGTTGCTTTATTTCGTTGGTTCAGGCCATTGGCACAAACCCTCTCTCATTCACAAATAGGGAAACTGAGACTCAGAGAGGAAGCGCTTTGATCTGGCCCCAGAGGTTTGGTGTAGACATGGTGGGAAGGGAAGTAGGCTGGGCTCTCCCGGCAGGCCCTGGCTCTCCAGCCAGGATAGCAGAAGAGTCTTGGAGAGGCCTGGAGCGATGAAGCTGTGTCTCATTTGAGGACACACATCCATCTACAGCTGGACCACAGAGTCAGGCCCGGGGGCAGCTGAGGGCCCCCCAGATAAAGCTGTTCATGGAGAGTAGAGGTGGGGAGGGTCAAGAGCCGAGAGGTGTAGGGCTGGACACAGGTTCCAGGTGGGGTTGTGGTGGCGTTTCTTCATCAACTTGTTGCTTGCTGGGAGTGGGGCCAGGAACTTCAGGGCTCTCAGCTTCACCCCGATACCACAGGCCAAAGCTAGAGGGTAGAAACAAGAGGTTCCTTGAGCCCAGAAGCCAGAGAGGTTGAGGGATGCCGGGGAGAGGAGGGGCAGAGAGGGAATAAAGGGCAGCTGGAGTTAGTGGGGAGGTGAGGGGCCCAAGGAACAGGTGGTAGGGGCATGGATAGAGCTCAAGGGATGAGGGCGCTGAGAAGACTCCAGGTGGGTCCCCTCCCTCAGCCTCACCCTCACCCCCTATCCCTTGCCCTTCCATCAACATACAAACTCTGTATCCGGGACTCAGGAAGCGGAGGTGGCTCTTCCTTATCCCTGGGGAGCAGGAGCCATGAGCCATCCTCATCGTCACTGAAGCAGAGAGAGGAGACATGAGTGCCGTTTATCAAGGCTCTGAGCAACAAGGGGAGTCTAGTTCACACCTCCCTGCTGGGCAGCCCCCAGGAACAGGTGGGAGCGGGCAGGGTGACTGCCGGGCACCTGGGGCTAGCTAGAGTGAAGGAGACGCTGGAGAGATGAAAGGCATTGCAAGGCTTCATTTATAGTCGGACTGACGGCAGGTTCAGACAAGGCTGTGGTGGCAGACTCAGCCCTTGGAGGACAAACAGATCCAGCCAAGGTAGGAAGCCAAGGGTGGAGGGGAGAAGCAGTGTAAGCGGATCACAGCAAGCTGGGCAGGCTGGAGCAGTGCCGGATCCAGAGAGAAGGGTGGCTGGTTCCACAGGGCAGCCTGGACAGCAGGCACGGGGTGACCAGGTCAGGAGGTCAGACACAGGGGGTGACCAGGCCAGAGCAGCAGGCTGGAACAGCAGGCACAGGGGTGAGCAGGCTGGACTGATAGGTTCAGGCTGAATGACAGACTCAGAGGGTGACCAGGCTAGGTCAGCAGGCTAGGGCGATGGAAGGAGGGAGGGAGGGCGAGAAGGCTGGCTCAGTGGGGGATAAAATCCAAACCAAAGCCATTGTCTGAGTCCATTCTGATTCATAGCAACCCTTTAGGGCAGAGTAGAATTGCCCCTTAGGGTTTCCAAGGCTGTCAATGGGAAGGAAGCAGGGTGCTATACCTAGTGCGCCAAGAGGGGATACAGGGCAGGAACTGACCTGCTCTCAGCTTCCTCAGGGGTCCCTAACATCTTCGCCTTGATCTTCTTCCGCTGCCTCCGGACAGCCACTTTTATGGCTTCCAGCAGAAGCCCAGACACCCTGTGGTCGGCGAGCAACTCCCTAGAGGGGAACCGAGAGACAGGGAAAGCAGTGGAGGTGGGTGTACACCATTAGGTCTCACCCCCAGGAGCTGGGCACTTTGTTCCCAGCTTTTTGAGACACTCTGACTTGCTAACACCCCTTCTAGGAACACTTCTCTGACTGCTGCTGGTGTGGGTCTGTGACCCCCTGAACTGCCCGCTCCCAGGTCTGGCCCAAGCTCCGGGAGGTTAAGGCCTGGTGACTCAGGTCTTCCCAGGGGAGTGGAAGTCCGAAGCGGGGTTACCACGGACCCAGAGAGGAGCCCTTTGGGGTCTGGATCCCTGCCCGCTCTCTCACCGCTGGAAGTAGGCCAGCTCCTCCTTCAGTAGGAACACATTGGCTTTGAGCTCATTCCGCTCCTGCAGGATCTGCCCAAGCTCCTCCCTACTGAAGCCGCTTTGGTCTGCCTCCTGGAGGCGTCCGGGCTGCTGCGGAGCATCCGGCTGCAACAGGACAGATTTGGTCAGAGGGCCGCCTTGGCCAGCACTCAGCCCTTCCCCAGGGCGATCATGGGACTGCTAGGAAGTTTGCCCAGCAGGGAAACTTGGGGGATGGGGGTGTGTGGAAGGTGTTACAATGAATGAATGTATCGTGGTCCGGCTGAGTGGAAAAGCGCAGGCGGGCCAAGGGCACAAACTTGTCTGCCACCTTCCAACTTCCGGAGGAGCCTGCCATACAGCAAAATAAAATGTCCGGAGTGTCCACCAAATTTCAGATGCTGTGAGTGGTCAGATGCGTGGGTCCCTGCCCTCATCAGACACTCACAGGACCCTCAGGAGTCTCTGCGGTCCCGGCATCGCTGGTCGTTCTCTCAGGCTCCTGTCTCTGCTGCTTCTGGTCCCGAGGCTTCTCTTGCGCCAACAGGGGGGACCCTTCGCGCAGCACCTCCCTCTCCCTCTCGCGCTCTCGCACCGCGCGGAGCTGCGTCTGCACCGCGGCCAGCTTCTGGCGTAGCTCGGCATTCACCAGCAGGAGGCGGTGCAGCTGTTCCTGCAACTGGGGGCGGGGCAAGAGGCGCAGACCAGTGGGCGTGGCGCCGCGGGGCGGGGGGAGCCACGCCCCACGCCCGTCGCTCCGCCCTCGCCCTCACCGCCTCCGTCTCCTGGCTGCGCTGCAGCAGGTCGCGACTGTGCGCCCGGAGTTCGTCCCGCTGTCGGTCCGTCACCTCCTTGAGCTGCCGCAGCAGAGCGCGCTCCTCTGGAGAGGGGGCGTTTTCAGCGGCAGCCAGCACGAGGGGTGCCCCTGACAGGCTTTGATCGGTCCCGATCGCGCCCCCAGCCCTCCCGGGCCCCGGCGGAGGCGCTCACTCACCCTGTGGCCCCGCACGCAGCTCCCTTCGGAGGTGTTCGTTCTCCTCCCGCAGCCGCCGCAGCTCCAGTTCTGCCTGCTGCGCCGAGACCTGCAGCTGGGGAGCCCGGGGCTCGGCGTTAGGCTGCCGTCGGCCGCGGGGGCCCGGGGGTGGAGCCGACACTCACCGAGTCCGGTGCGGGCCCCACCGCAGCCTTCTCCAGGAGCTCCAGCGCCAGCACCACGAGTGGCACCAGCCCGGCTGCCGCCTCCGGCCCGAAGCGGCGCGCCAGTTCTTGAAGCTCAGTGCCCAGAGCCCCCGCCAGATGGTACACGCGCTCCGCGCAGGACCCCGACCCCGCCGTCCCTCGGGGCCCCCAGCCTGGCCCCCCAGGCGCCATCTTTCGGGGCTCCATGTACCCTGAAGGGCAAAGGTTTTGCCCCTCCTTTGGGCAGGAAAAAGCGAACAGTTCCGGCTCAGGGTTGTCGTGGGAGGAGCGATTAAGCGGAAGGCGGTGGGGAAGACAGCCCGGGCGCTAGGACCCCCAGGACGACCTCCCTTTCAAGCTGAAGGTCACCAGAAGCCAGGCCGTCAGCTTCCCGCCAGGCCTCCCAGGGGCTCAAGCTGCAAAAGCTTTCCCGGAGCGGGCCCTCCCCACAGGCCCGGGCCAGGCTCCACCTCTGAGCCTGAAGTCATAGGGCTGACCTGGCAGCTAAAGACAAAAGGTCAGAGGTCGGGTTGCTGGCAGCCTCCACTGGACAGCCAAATCCGCCTTCTAGACCGGCCGCCTGTGTGCCTGCTTGTCCAGCCAGGAGTGATACAGCAAACTAGGGAGCCTCACTCCGCCAGGCATCAACGCCCCACGTTGCACACAGCAACTGCTGCACGGGGCTGAAAATGGGGTGCTGCTTGGGAAGTCACTTTGGAAGGCAGGCTGCAAGTGTCAGGAGTGGGAGTGAGGGAAAGCCAACCCCAGCTCTGCCCTCCAATCCACTGGCTCTCCACTGGCTCCCTGCTAAGCTCAGCACCCGGCTGTGGCCAAGGGACCTGGCCCAGCCCAGCTTCCCACCACACAAAATATGACCCCAGGGGAAAATAAGGGAAAAAAAAAAAAAGACTCCTATTTATACAAAATTTATTGTTACACTTTGTTGGGGATTGCCAAGTCACCAGGAGGTCAACAACATAAAAACACGCACACAATAGGGCACACGGGGCCATGCTGCTGAATGTCAGCAGCTTGTCTGGGGTGGGTGTGCAAGGAGTCTTGAGCAGGTGAGGAGGCTCCTAGGCATAGAGGTCTTCCCTGTCGGCAGAGTAGACCTCACCCTCCTGCAGGAGGGCGAAGTTGAGGAAGTGCGACGGCCGGTGCACCTCGTGGTAGAACTCCTTGGGGTTTGCCAACTGTAGCTCGTACTTCATGTTGGGGTCGTGCCGGACACCTTGGGGCAGGAGGAAACATCAAATGTTAGCCAGTGTTGGGTCCAATGTAGTATCTTATCATTTGATCTCCCTTTGACCCAGTTTAATGCAGTTTCTGGGTTTTTGTTTTGAACCCCCGTAGTTTCTGTTTTATCAAATAAAAAGTGAAGGGGAAATAAATGCACATGGATTAAGCAGGCCTCTGATGAATCAATCCCCTCTGACCATGGACCAGGGATGTGAGGAACCTTGCTATCATGCGGAACACATCAGAAAATGGATTGTTGTAGATGCAGTTAGGTTAAAGTCTAGCACCTTATGATCTGATCTCCCTTATGATTCATTTACGTTTGTTCTACTGCTTAATATTTTCTGCTTTCTTTTCAATTGGGGCTTTTATCTGTTTTACTTTATTATTGTTGCTAGTTTTTGGCACATGAAATCCAGGATAGGTAAATCTAGACCGGCAGTAACTGGATTAATGGCAGGGGAGGTTGGGGGAAAACGGGGAGCTAATAACTATGAGTACAAGAATGAAAAACATGTTCTAAAACTTATTGTGGTGATGATTGTACTACTCTTCTTGATGTGACTATTGAATTGTATGATATATGAGCTATGTGCCAATAAAACTGTTAAATAAAAAAAGGTATGCAGGGATTTGCGTTTCTCACCCAGCCTGGGCCCCTGGCCATCTCTGAGCAAGAGCCAGGACCCAAGTTTTAACAGTGACCATGTAACTCCTTCCCTCCCTATTCCCGGCGCTCCCCCACCAACATCAAGTCCCACCCCTACCCCCTACCCCCAAAAAAACCCCAAACCTATTGACTGAGTCAATTTTAACTCAAAGCAACCCTACATAAGGTTTTCTGAGACTAAATTTTTAGGAAAGCAGACCACCTCAGCTTTCTTCCACAAAGATGCTGGTAGGCTTGAACTGCCAACCTTGCAATTAGAGGTCCAAAGCATCCTCAGGGTCCCCCTGCCCTCCACTTACCCATAAAGTTGTAGTTCCACGAGGACTGGGCAGGGACCATAAAGAAACCAAGGAAGCGATCGGACAACAACATCTGGACCCTCTCGTAGTGCGAGGGCAGGTAGCCCTTGGGGTTGTTGCCCTTGTCTGTGTTCTGGCGGCCCCATTCGTAGCCACTGGGGGTCAGCTTGTAGGCTGTCAGGGTGCAGGAACCTGGTGTGAAGCTGCAGGAAGGAGGAGCCCAGAATCAGTGCGCAGGCCACCATTTTGAGTCCAGCCTGCTGGGCCTGCACCACCACACTGCCTCCCAGACCCACCTGCAGGTGATGATGATGGTCTTCTCGCCATCCCAAGACGGGTTGTCAGCCATGATCTTGGCGTGGGTAGTAACATCCTGGGGCGACAGCTGGGGAGACTCATTGGGCTGAGTGTGGATCCAGCCTAAGGGCTCCATCTCCTGTGGACCAAGAGCAGCGGAGTTCGGCTTGCAGCCCTGTCTGCAGACAGGATTCCCCACCCAGGAACCACATGCCCGCCCCTCTCCACCATGCTGCTAACAGGAAGCCCGGTTTTCCTGCCCAAGTTCCTCCACCACCGCTCACCTTGAGGTACTCGTGCTGGGGCAGCTGGCCGGGGAGGTGCACAGTCTGGTGGGTGCCCCACTGCGGAACCATCACGATGCAGCGGATCTCCTTCACCTGGGGGTTATCCGGGGGACTCACCCCATACAGGTAACCTGCAATCTAGGGACAAGGGGCCAGGGCCAAACTGAATCACAAGCCCAGCGTCTGGCGTGCTAGCTCTGTGCTTCCTATGTTCTCTGCCCCGAGGCCGAGCAAGGACTTTCTCAGAACCTCCTGCACCCTAAACGCAGTCGCCCGTCATCCTCACCCACCAACCCAAGGGTCACAAAATAGGGTTGTATAAAAACAGAAGCTTTCCTTATTGGGCAAAATGGATTATCTTTTCCTATTCCACTTGCCACTGCTGGTTCCCATTCTGAATGACCTTTCTGATTCTTTGCCAACGATCTTCCTCCTCGTCTTCTGGGAAGTCTCTACCCGTGGCCACATACAAGTGATCCATTCTGCCCACGTGTTCTGTGTCTCCTTGAATAAGCCCACCCAGTGCTATGATCAAGCGTGATCTCTTCATACTCTGCAGCTCACTGCTTCACACTCAGCTCTTCCCCAAGATGTTACTGGTTGAGTGACATGAGGCAGGCAGCTACCTTTCTTTTCCCAAGGCTTTTCGTATGATTTACACATGACTGTTTCTAATATATGAGAGGGACTTCACAAGGGTCAGGGGAAAATTCTGTGATCTTTCCATGCCATTTTCCCATGAACTATCCCCCCCCCCCAATGAACTTTTTGAAGCCCCCTCTTAATACTACTCTCGTTCAACAACTTCTAGGTCACTACACCAGTCTCCTAATTAGCACAGCTATGTGGTGGGGGGCACCCTCCTGACCACTGTGCCTGTCCTTGTCTGCGCTCTGAAACCAGCACCTCCGGTTCCAGGGACACAGTGTGTAAGCAAGCTGAGCACCCTCGCTCACTTGGGCTCGGAGGTCAGAGATGCAGATGAACTTCTTAAGTACATTCTTGGGAAGGATATAGGTGTAACCAGTCTCTTTGATGTCATCGGATGACACGTAGATGTGGTTGGTCCTTAAGTGCAGGTTGGCGGCAGAGATGGCCCTGCAAACGGGGAGGGAGGGGACGTCAGCCTTTCTCGACTCAAGTACAGGAAGCCCACCCACCCACCCACCCCACGGCCCGTCTGGCCTGGTCTAGTACCTGACCCTCCACTCGGTCTTGGACGAGAAGGTCTGGGTCTCGTAGTTGCTGGTGGTGGAGGTGATGATCTCATCACCGTGCTTGTTGACGGTGCGCGTCTGCGTGGCCGTCAGCTGGGACTGTTCCTTGGTCTGCTTCTCGATCTCAGCGATCTGCTGCCGCTGCTGGGACGGGGCCGAGATCTCCATCCCCAGGATGATGTCTCGAATCTCGGACTGTGTCAGTGACGCCACATTCACACTGTGGGGACAGCCTGCGTCACACCACAAGGCTCCCTTCCCCTTGGGGTCCCTTAGTCCCTTCTGCCTCAAGGGCCAAGGTGTTAACTCTGTGGGACAGGGAAGGCCCATACTCTTGCCCCAGACAACCCTCAGCTGCCACCTCAACGAGAAGATTCCTCTGGAGCCCTTTCCGCTCAGCACCACCACCTCCCCCTTTTCCCCTGGACACACAGGTGCCCTGGCACAGGACGAGCCTCAGCGCCACTGTCATCACCGGGATACGTGGATATCTACAGCCATCCTGGCTGCCAGAATGACAGGGAGAGTGTGGAGGGACGGAAAGGGATGTGCTCGCTGTAACGTACGGACTGGAAGGAGCTGCCTGCTCAAGATCGCAACTGGCATCAAGGCAGTTGGCACCACTGAAACCAAGGCAGGGGCGCAGACGGAAGGCCAGGACAGAAACACTGCCCTCTGCAGGCAGCCTGCAGACTCGAGATCCTTCTGAGCCTAAACTCACCTATAAAAATCACACTTTAAAGCCACCCCCTCTCCCGGCTTACTTGTTCTTCTTGCCATAGTCGGCCAAGATCAGGTCCTTGAGCTGCACCTCCACCTTGATCCACTCCTCGTCGGTCAGTGTGGGCCAGATGTGATGTGGCTCCGTGATAGTGGTCTTGTCTGGCTTCAAGATCACCTTGGCCCGGTCATTGTTCACGTGCAGGGCACGCAGAATCAGGATGAGACGGGAGAAAGCCTGGGAAGAGATATGGGGGAGTGAGCGATGGGAAGTCAACCCCTTGAAGCTGTTGTTTCATCCACCCCTATTGTTTCTTCCTATCCTTTCTGGACCCCGGAGAACGGATTTCAAACTATAAAGCCCACCCAGCCCACCACGAGTGAGTCAACCTCATATACAGAGCAGCTCACCCTCCATCTACAGACTGAAGAAGTGAAAACGGCTTCCCTAGGCTGGTGGGAAAAGGCAGGGCCCAGGGTCTGTGCTGATCTGCACCCCCTTTCCCTGAAGCAGCTTTGTACCGTGTAAGATGAGATTGTCTTGAGCCAGTCGTCATAGAGGTTGAAGAGAACCATCTGAGGCTCAGTGGCTTTAAGAATGAGGTCCCCAAACTTCTCCACCTTGAGACAAGCCTGGAAGGGGAGCTGCAGTTCTGACCCTTTGATCACAATGTTGGGGAA